CTCAGCCAAGTCTCTTCACCTCTCTGAGCCTCCATTCTTCACTGATGAAACGGGTCGGATGATAATGCTGCACACTGCCCAGGACTGCTGGATACCACTGGCGTCACATACACCAAACGTTGAACCCAGTAACTGGCCAGAAATGGTGGTTCCTATTATTACTTTAGTATTTTCTCATAGAATTCAGGGTCCTGCCAGATTCAGGGTTTCACGATGGAAACTTCCAGCAGAGCTCAGCTTTAAAAAGCTTTGGCCAGGACCCCAGGCAGCTTGGCATCCCACCATGCCTGGCCCCAGGTCTGTGTGTTTTCACTTTCTGGGCTGCACTGGGGGTGCTGGAGGGGAGGATGGAGCCTCCTTTCCAGGGCTGGGACTGCACAATTCCAGACCTGTGGATCCAGACAGAGCCACCTAGAGGCGGCTGCATCCAAGGTGGTGCTCAGCCCTGAAACCCACAATTACAGCTCAGTAGCCTGGGTTTCTGTGCAATGTGTCCATCCCCCAACAGCACAAAAGCCTCAAGGAAAACATCACGCAGCACAGCATTGATTTCACTTACTCTGCCACTCTGGTTGCTTTCTGAGTCCTCACTATGCACCCTGAGCCCTGCTGGATGGTTTTACCAAAGCCCCAGCTTCACAGATGAAGAAATCAGAATAAAATGCTGATTACAACAGTGACTAATCTGTACTGAGTGCTGACTACACAGTAGCTGGCTTGAAGCATCAGTCCTTGAAACCGAACTGGTGATCCCATCCCTATTTTACAGATGAGAAAACCCAGACCCAGAGAGGCTTAGCAAATTGTCCAAGTAAGCAGCGAGGCTGGGGCTGACAGCCAGGCCTTTAGCATTGTGTAGCGCTAGACCTGTAGTGGCGAACCTTTCAGAGCTCTCTGTGACACCCCCCAACTGCGGCACGCGTGCCATAGGTTCCCCACCACTGCACTAGACTATGTTGTGTCTCTGTGTGGAGAAGCTACACCGTTGCTAAGGCTGCAGAAGCAGTTATGAGCGTTAAACAGGCAGGCACAAGGAGAACACAGTAAGCAGCCGCAGACAGGAGCAGATAAAAATCCATGGTTGGAGGCTCAGAGCAGGAGGTATAGCAGGCTTCAGATATAGGAGGACAAGGGGGTATAGAAAAGGGCATTTCTGGTGGTAGGAACAGCCTAAGCCAAGGTACAGAAATAAGAAGTATGCATTCATTTAAAAGCCAAACTAGATTAGGCTGCATATTGATGATTGTTACACAAATCCAACACATTTCATTCCTTGTTCTGGTAACCAGGGGCAATTATGTCCGACATGGGATTCTGTAGTGGGCACTCTGCTGGTCTTTCAGGTGCTAAGGTCCCTGAGCTAGCACAGCTCTAGGTTGCAGGGAAGGAACTGTTTCCCACAGCAACCCAACAGGTCAGCCCACCCTAAAACGTGAGTGAGAAATAGGGCTTCTCAGGAGCAGCCCAGGCCCCGCTGTTATGTTTTGTTTTTAAAAGAAAACTTGGATCAACAGCTCAACAGTTCTGAGTTGGGGAGCGACATGATCAGAGCTGTGTTGACAGGCAAGAAATCTGAGCACATTTGAAGAGCGGGGCGGGGAACCTTCGTTAGTCCGAGGCTACAAATAAGAAAATAACCTGTCGCACAGAGCCCTTGGAAGCAGTGAGCAGGCGTGTGGGATCCGCACAACACTTTTAGACTCCCTTCCTCTCTCACACCCCCTCTCCATCTGTCGCAAAGGGCACCGGGAAGACGCAGGAACATTCCAGCTCTGGGGGCTCCAGAGCTCCTCAGCCAAGATGGGGGGGTTCTTGTAGGGACCGCCTCCCTCCCCATGTGTTGTCTCCTGTGAAGGTCAAGGGCATCCAGAGTCCCCCCCTCACCTTGGGTGGCTTTCAGAGGACACCTTGTGACTCAGTCTAAAGCTTCTGCCCAGAGAAGGAGCCTGGCCCTAACTCTCCGAGTAAGTCCAAGAAGGCTTCTCCTCTCCACCTCCACCCCAGCTTAGACTACAAAATCCAGATTCAGTCATTTAATTGCTTCCATCAGATCGCCCAGCAGGCAGGCTCTCTTATCACTAATTTCTTGGGCAGGTTACACCTCAATTTTGGACTCAATTTTCCTCATCTATAAGATGGAGCCAACTATAAGAGCCAACTCCTGCATGGCTGATGAATGAGATAACAGCTAAAGCTCACAGCCTGGAATGCAGTTAACTGTTTAATAAACACTGCTTTTCCTCCCTCTCTCAACACATGGTTCACATTAGGACTTATCCATGCTGACTGCAATTGAGTATGAATCATGCCATGAGTCTCTGCAGAGTGGGTAAAGGAATAATTAATGGCCAGAAAGTACCCAGAGAACTCTACGGCTTTACAAGACCGCCTCACAGCCTGGCTGCGGCACAGCCAAACCCTTACTCCTTCTCTTCCTACGAAAGAGGAAGTGACGACAATTTTATCACTCAGGAAAGTACAGAAGAGCCACCAAAATGCCACCATCTACCAAGGGTCAGAGGTTCATGGAAGGCCCCAATGCCCCCAAGGCTAGCACACCGACTTGGCTTGGCCTCCTTTGGGCCAAGGCAAAGGAATTCACCTGAGGTCTGTCTGGAGGTGACCATAAGGTCATGAGGCCTAAATGGGATCAAGCAGGCTATAGTGTCAGGCCCTGTAGCCCCTGAATCATCTCCTGAGGTGTCCCAAGTCTCCCTCAGCTCAATTTGTGTCAGAAAACAAGCCCTTCCATTGGCTCCAAGAACATAGGATGATGACTTCATTGGAATCTTTTTAGAATTTCCCTTTGGCAGCAACTTGTGCCAAACGCAATCTTTGGAAACTTCTTACCCTGCCACCCCCAATGGGATAACTCACATGACCAGCACCCCACCACCACCAGTGATCATGTGAAGTCATAACAATCATGTGACCCCTCCCAGGACGACAGCTCTGCCTGACAGATACTAGCAGTCATTCAATCCACAGTCACCTTCCTAAGCCTGACATTTGAGTTTCTCACTCAAACAAATCCATTTTCTTAGAAAATTGGACAAGTACCTTCTTCTACCTTCCTGCCCATCTAGTCTGTCTCTTCTGCTTTGTCATAAATTTCATGCACCCAACCACAGAGGGAGTGGGCTAAAGTTTCACCTTTCAGTCAGACTAAGTGAATTTCATGCTGGGCCAAGGGTGCCCCCAGGGACCCAAAGGTACACAGTGAGAGCTGCTGGGAGCTCCAATGGCCATATGTCATCCCTTCCCTACCATCCTCAACCAAAAAATTCATTCTTGCTTCCTAAGATTTATTTATTTCAAAGTTAATCCGGGTCCCTCTGCTGCTCCCACTTTCTCAGGCTATTGATGCTGAATGGATTGGAACGGAAGTTTTATGGCCCAATCTTTACCATTTTATAGATTGTTTTTATAGGCAAAGGGGGGAGATGTGCTCATAGGAAGGTGTTGATGCTCTCAGCCAGTGCCCCAGCTAAGGCAGGCTGCCCATCCAAACTTGTTAATCAATGTCGTCGCTCATTTGCCAGGGTCTGAACCACAGGGTCCTGGGCAGAGAAGGGTCTGGAACAGACATTTAGAAATTAACTTGGGCCCAGTTCCCTACTTCAGGAAAATTAAGTACTTATAAGAGCTGCCTGTGCATTTCCAAGCCAGGGGAAGGAGGGCAGGGCAAGAGCTCAGACTTTTTGTAGAGATAAATGGCAAGCTCAGGCAGGAAGGTACAGATGAGATTCACTCAGAGGACAGACATGAAATCTACTAGTGCTTCTATCCACCCTGCAAAGAAAATGCTCTAACTGAAAAGAACAGGGGTCAGGAGGCACCTTGTGGGGTTCAGAGGAAACTGCCAGGCAGGGAGAAGCTGCTGTCCACTCCCCCTACTTCTCTTTCCACCCACACTTCGATAGTTCCTTATTTCTTCTTGCTATCAGATGGTTACCAGTCTCTAGGCAAATGCAAAGGGGGGGGGGGTGGTGAGCTCATCTTTACCTCCCTACCCAAGGGTGGGAGACGCAGGCACCCTTCTGTCCAGAACACAGCCTCAAGAGGCCGCAAAACAAGGTCCCCACACTCCTCTCCCTCCCAAACTCCATTTCTGTGCCCCTCATACCCTCCCAAAGGGCCCACGGTTTTGCAGAACCCCTTTAAGATGCAGAACTCCGGAATGGTGACCTCACCCCTTGGTGAACACACAGTAGCCTTCAGAGCCCGCCTGCCTGCCAGAGACAGCCAGGTGTTTGATGTAGGCCGACAAAAAAACATGCTCAGAGCCACAGGTAACAGCTTTGGAACACCTGGACTGCAGGGGGATGACTGGAAGCCCAGGACAGCAGCAGGAAAGGGGAGCAGTGAAGGGGGGGGGGGGCTGGAGGCGTGCTGCCAGAGGCTGTGCCAGCACAGGAACAATCCGCTGCGATTTCAGGGAGGATCTGTTGATCTCCGCAGCCCTGGCCTTCCCTCCTCTCTCCCTGGCTTTTTCACATGAACACTGTAGACTCTGAGGACCAGAGGGGCACTCTTGCCCAATCCCACAGCCTGTTCAGGCTTCATTTCAGGAGCGCCTGTGCCCCCACCGACTCCCTCTGACCCTCATGTCAAACCTGTGGAAAGCCTGAGTCTAGCTTCCAGAGATACCAGAGTGCCCTGTTCCGAAAGCCACTGTCAGTCTACATCTCCCACCCCGGCCAGGGTTGGGTGAACCAACTCATCTCTCAGCTCCAGTGCCAAGTACAGAACCATACTGTCACAGTCTATGGAGACAGACCTGCATAGAAAGAGTTCTCTCCTAGGTTCTAGCGGTGCTGTGTGACCTTGGCCAAGTCGCCGGCCCTCTCTGGGCCTGGGTATCTGAATCTGTAACCCTGGTTATAGGCATCTCTCCCCACTAAGGCTGTTTGGCAATAACCGAGCGGCTCCCAGTGGCGACCTGGGAGGCCCAAGCCCGCCGTTTGCAGAAGCCAGACGCGGGAAGTAGGGGTGCTTACCTGGCCAGGCACAAGTCGCGGCGAGCAGCAGGTAGAGCAGCGGCCCGAGGCGGCCGGGGGCCGGGCTGGCGGGCTCCATGGGCCGCGGCTGCGGAGCGAGGAGGGAGAGCGGCTGTGAGTGTGCGCCCGGCGGCGCAGGCTGTAGCGGGGAGATGACTAAGGCTCCCCCTCCTCCCTCCCCTCCGAGCGCGGCGCCCGAGCAGCCCGGGATCCGCCGCCGCCGCTATGGTGGGAGACCCAAGCCTTCGGCCCGGGAGCGATCAGGAGACGCAGCGGGAGAGACCCGAGGGCGCGCGAGCGGAGCTAGAGACGGCCAGGAGGCGGTGGAGGCGCGAGAGGGACGGACCCCAGGGAGCTGGGCGAGCGCCGGAGACACTGGGCGGCGAGCGGGGAGCGCGAGGGAGGGAGCGCGCGGGGCGGCGCAGCAGACAGCGCGGCCGGGCGGGAGAGCGCGCGGAGGGCAGGGCAGGGCAGGGGCAGCGCGGCCCGGGCCGGAGCACAGCTGCCCACCGCGGCCACCCGCCTGCCCGCTCTGTGCCGCGCTCCCCCTGAGGTCCCGGCGCCTGAAGCCCGGCCCGCTCCTTCCCTCTGCGCCCTAGCCTCCTCGCCCCGCGTTAGCCCCGGCAGCGCCCGGGGTGGGAGCGAGCTGTGCGCCTCCCGCGGGCGGAGGGCAGCGAGTGTCGCCCCCGCGCGGGCCCCACACCGCGCACCGGCCACGGCTGCAGCCCGGAGCCTCCGCGCCGCGCCGCCTGTTCGGAAGCCGGACCGCACGGATCCTGCTCTGGCTTCGGCTGTCGGCGCCCCAGTTCCCAGCCCGCACAGCGCCCGGGCCCTCCTCTTCCCTCCGCTCCCCTGCGCTCAGCGTCGAGCCAGCTCGGACCTGCGCCGCCGGGTGGCTGCGAGGCGAGGAAGCGCCGCCCGGGCTGCCCAGACTCCGGCCCCCGCTCCACTTTGCGCAAACTTGTTTTCGTAAGGTCAGCGCCGCGGGCTGGTCACATCCTCGTTTTAAGGTGGACTGGGGAAGTTGCGGCGACCTCCCCTGGCGGCGCACTCGGGCCGGGCTGTGGGCCCCAGGTCCCGCCCGCCAGAGGCTGCAGACGGCGGGCCGACCCGAGCCGAGGGGCGGGAGCTTCGCCTCCGCCCCTCCCCAATGGCCCTGCCTCCGCGTCCCAGCGCCGAAGGTCCGCCGAGGGGTAGGGGCGGGGCCAGAGGGGTAGGAATCTTTCCGAGCTGGGCCGGGGGGGAAGCAGAAGCAGGAAGTGAATGTAGGGGGAAGGGGGAGAGGAAGGAGAGAGTGATGGTACAAAAATAGCGCGTGTGTAGGAAGGACTTCGGTACTCGGGAAGGGAGGCGCTGGGGAGAGCGCGGGGAGGGGGCCACGCGGGAGAGCAGAGCGGGGAAGGGTCCGGCTCTTCCCAGAGGCGGCTGCTCCGTGTCCAGGATCCTCTTCTGGGAGGGAGACCCAGGGCCTGGTGAAGGACCAGGAAAGGGTGGGGGGGACAGGGGGCCTTGAAGACCTGGTCTCTGAGAAAATGATTGGCAGCGGGAAAGAGGAGAGGAGGACAGGATGGATCCCAGAGGACGGAGCTTCCTCGTAGAGAACGCTGCGTTTGCTCTCCTTTGAGGAGAGTCTGTTCATAGCTGCAGCCAAGTCAGGTTTGAGCTGGGGACCTGGAGTGCTATTCCTGAGCAGAGGGAGGAAAAGGAGACCCTCCACTAATTCAGTTGCTGAGTTGGGAGTAAGCCAAAGAGAACTTAATTTTGCTTCACAGGGTGGCAGTTAAGGGACAATAAAGCAAAGCCTGACGGAGAAGACCCCATGGGTGAATGGGGAAGTTGGGGTCCAGAGAAGGAGGCAATGGGTCTAAGGCCACTGATTCAGTGAGGCCCCGGGAAGAAAGGAGGTGTGAATTTTGAGTTCCAGGCTGAGGACCTTGGAAGTGCCTGTCCTGCCTTCTGCAGCACTGGTGAAATTCCTGGTCCTGCTTTCCTGCTAAGACCAAGAGGCAGACAGGATAGGCTGACCGGAGTATGGACCAAACTCCCTGGGCTTATAAGCTTCAGAGTCTTATGAACTTTGTTACCTTGGGAAAGTACCTTATGGTTTCTGTGCCCCACCTTTCTACCTAAAAAGGGCCATTATGCGGATTAGATAACAATATTTGCACACTTAAGAAAGAGCCTAGTATGTACCAAATGCAATGAAAATGCTCGGCAGCAGTCCTTGGGAACCTATAGGGTTCTGGGCAGCATCGAAGTACAGAGAGATTTTCATTTCCTTGAGCTTGAGAAATTATAAGGGGTCCCCATCCTGGAAGGTTTTCTAGTAGAGGAGACAGAGTGGGCAAGTAGAAACACTAAAGAACATAGAAGATCAGCTGAGAGAGAGAGAGAGAGAGAGAGAGAGAGAGAGAGAGAGAGAGAGCTCTGAACTCATGTAGACAGGATGCAGGAAAGCAAAGTGAAGATGTGGGGAGAAAGGTGAATCCAGAAAGGAGAGCAGCACAGATAAAGGTCTTGAGGCCAGCTTAGCTGAAGGCTGAGGGAAGAGCCTGCAATATTCTGTAGATGGGACTGCTGGAGGGTTGCTAGCTCAGACTGTGCTCATCTGATGGCTTCCAGCCACTCTTCTGTCAGTGGACAGGTGTCCAGAGGTTGGAATTGGATGTCCGGGAGGAAAGACACTCTGGGCTTATCTGATGAGGGCTACAGGGAGAGTCTTCAACTCATCAGACCACATCAACATCTGGAAGGACCCTGGAGGGAAAATCCAGCACCAGATTTCACCTAGGGGCTGTGTGTGGTGGGCTGCTATGATAAGATCAGAGATGAGGGAGCTTCCTGCTGGGCTCCAGAAGACTACTGTTTGTGGTTCCCTATGGTGCACACACCAGCCTGCCTGGGATTAGGAGGCTGGGGATTAGAAGGATAATAATTGAACCATCTGCTATTTATATACAGTACCTGGCAAAGGCGCTCAGCAGAGCTTCCCAATGGGGGGGGAGGGTGAGGGTGAGGGGCTTTTGCCCTGACTCTTGCCCCTAGGATGGAGGAAGCCCCTCATTCTTCTTTCATCTGAAAGTCACCCATAGCCAGAGGCCATGGAACTGTGAACAGACTGGAAGGCAATTTGCTTGAGGTCCCATGGAAAGATTGTGGCAGATAATTGATATGAATCAGCCACTCGCCTAGCAACTGAATGGCTCCCTTGGATTAAGATGTAGCTGACTTGTTCATATCTTATACAAACACACACACACACATCCCACTATTTATTAAGCATCTACTACATGCCAGGCACTGTTCTAGGCAAGGGCTACGCTGCAGTTGGAAAATATGGACGCACATGCACATAAATCCTCTCCTTGAAGGAGTTGACATTTTAGTAGGAAGAAGCAAGTATATCAACAGGTAAAATATTTAGTGCTAGATAGGGATAGGTGCTTGGTAAGGAATAAGTAGGAAAGGGCCCCAGGAGTGCTATTGATAAGGCAAGCACAGTTTTTTGTTTTGTGTTTTGGAGGCAGGGTCTTGCTGTGTAGTTCAGGCTGGCCCTGAATTCGCTATGGAGCCTCGCTGGCCTCCAACTTGTGGTGATCCTTTTGCCTCAGTCTTCCAGTGCTGGGATTATAGGTGTATGCCACCAGGCCCAGCAAGCATGCGGTATTGAAAAGGGGTCAGGAAGTCTCAGGGGAAAGACAGATGGAAGCCAGAAGAGGCTCCATCCTGCACTGCTCTGCTACCCTGGCTGTGCTGTCAGAGACTAAAGGTTGGGCTTTCCCACCACATCCAGAAACAAGCCACTCTCAGCTCCTCTGCTGCTAATGTCCTGGGTTAGTCCCTCTGTCCCGTATCGCCCTGGGGCGAGCCCTGCCATCTCTCACCTGGTAACGCATCCCCCTGTCCATCTACCCCTCACTCAGCAGCCCAGGAGCCACTTTCATAGTTAGGTCTGATCCCTGCGCTGTTGTGTAGGGGTCTGAATCTGTGGGGAGCAGGGATCTGGGCCTTTGAAGTTAAGACACAGCCAGAGGTTATTTAACCTATACAACTTGGAGGGTGGAAAAAGGGTTTGCGTCTCAGTGTGCAAAATAATAATGACAGGACAATCTTGATAGGTGAGGTCACTGTGGCCCTCTGTGTGAAGAGTATCTGAATCGGCCCAGCCTGCAGTGGTGGGCCCTTGCATGTGGAATGCCTGGCTCTGCTGGGCTCCCAGAGGTGAGGAGCAAGGGCAGAGGCAGAAAGTTACTTGACTAGGGCCACTGTGCCAGTGTGTCTGACCTGCAGGGACCTGCTGTGCCCACGCAGGCACAGCCTTGCCCACACTTGCTTCTGGCTTCCTGTAACCTGGCCTACGTCAGCAGGGGAGCCAGCCAGGCAGCCTTTGTGTGGGGCCTGTCAAGAGGCTGGAGCTGCCAACGACCTATTTTTCTGGGCAAAAGGAGCCATTTGGAACTGGAGGCCTCAGCTGTGGAGCCAGAACAATGAAAATAAAAACAGTACAGACTCCTGGGCTGCTTAGTCCAGGGGGCCAAGGGACTGCTGACCAGGCTGGAGACAGAGGGCTGGGACTGGGGCGGGGGGCTTGTCTTGTGTTCAGTCTTAGGTGGGTCATTGCCAAGGCTCAGCACAGCACTTCTCTGGTGACTGCTGTTCTTCCTTGAGAACTGAGGCCCGGAGGGATCAAGTGACTTGCCTCAGGTATGCATCTAAAGGATACTGATGCCACCAGGATTTGAACTCAGTTCTGTAGGAAACAACAGCAGTTGTCATTTGATCAGCATCTGCTGTGCTTTAAAGGCTTGCTTTTGTGACATACTCGTGCCACACATGGAAGATCATGACAGTCTCATTTTACAGCTGACAGAGCAGACTCTTTTTTTTTTTTGTTCCTAATGCCCTCAGGGCAGGTTTGGCTGGCTTGAGTTGTGGGGATAAACCACAGCAACCTGAGCCTGACTGCTTTGTTGAAGCAGCCACTTAAAGA